CTTAGCTAGGCTTTGTGGCACTTCAGCTTCAGTTATACATATATTGGTCAAAGACAAAGCTGGATTAGGAATAAGCGTTGGAATGTTACTCATGTCCTACACAGTGAATACCCATGCAAAACAGTAATTAAACTCATTAACTTCATCGATTTCATTTTCAGTTATAGGACCTGTACTCTCCTGTGAGACAGTTTATTTCACATGAAACTTAACTGTAAACAACCCGGTTTGCATGAAGAGCTTCACAGCTGGTTAAGCAGAAGAACAACTGAATTATATTTATATAATGAGGATTTGTTTCCTCTCGCTATCCACAGTGCCCTGATGGAGAGAGCAGGCTCACCTGCACCCAGCTGTGTTTCCTTGAAGAGTGATGGGTCAATGTTCCACCCAATCCACTTCAGAGAGGGACCTTTTCCTACAGATCAAAGGTAAATGTGTATTGAAACAAACACTGTTTAAAACAATCAGACTCTCAGTCAAAAGCTATACAGGCACACAAGCTATGAGCTAAGGGGTAAAAACCATTCCGAAGCCTGGCAGATCTGGCTCTGATTCTGCAGTACCTCCTCTTAGATGGCAGAAGTGTGAAAAGTCCATGTGAGGGGTCCTGCATAGTCCTGAGGGGAGAGACACCCCCATAATGCTCGTCGCTGTCCTCACCATCCTCTGCGGGCCTTTGGGGCGCTGCATCTAAAGAATGTTTCTCCTAGTGGGGAGAGAGAAACCCCATAATGCTCGTTGCTGTTCTCACTATCCTCTGGCATCTTACATCTTTACACATTAAAATACACCACTAGGTTATTCTGTGACTGCAGCAAGAGCACTTTTAATGGGGACCATTACAGACTTTCTGTTACACTTGTGTAGATGATTTGAGGTCTTTATATTTCTGTCTTATTCACAGAGACCAAATTGAAGAATGCAGTTCAGATCTACAGGAGAAACCGGGTTTATCTTCCATATTGAAGGCATGCATTTTATTGCTAATATATATTTTCTGAACTGTTGTGTGAATTGGCTTATATTTTATACAGCTACATAATAAGAAATTAATTATGATAAAGGTAAGATATTGAAACCTACAATTACAAATGAAACAATGAAATGGTTTGGTTCAAATAACAATAATTAACTGTGTTGGTGTATTTTAGTCATTAGAGGAAAATGCTGTGAGGTTCCTGAAGGACGAGCTGAAGAAGATCACGAGGTACCTAGATCAGAATTACCCAGAATGCTCTGAGCCTCAGCTGGAGGAGGACAACGACCTGGACAGTGATGGTCAGATGCAGAAGACCTGTGGTAGAGAAGGAGCTTTGAAGATCACACTGTACATCCTGAGGACTATGAATGAAAATGGTCTTGCTGACATACTGGAGAAGAGTAAGAGCTGAATTTCATTCTCTCTGTGTTTGTTTGATCTCAGAAACTTAGTATTTGAAAAAAGCATGTATTCCATTTCAGTTTATCATTTAATTTGATTTAGGTTTGCTTGTATGAATAAAAAATTGTGTTTTTTGAAAAGTCTGTGCATTTACCTCTCATTTCATTTAAGGGCATCTTCTGACACAATGTCAAATCAAATGTACCCTGAAGAAGAAATGTGAGTGTGTATTTGAAGGGAAAGCTAAGGAAGGACAGCCAACACTTCTCAATGAGATTTACACAGAACTCTACATAACTGAAGGTGGGACTGGAGGAGTCAATGATGAACATGAAGTGAGACAGATTGAAACAGTATCCAAGAAAAGGCTAACAGAAGATACTACAGTCAAGTGCAATGATATATTTAAACCCTTATGTGGGCGTGAGACACCTATCAGAACTGTACTCACTAAAGGGGTGGCAGGTATCGGGAAAACAGTCTCTGTGCAGAAATTTATTCTCGACTGGGCAGAAGGAAAAGCAAACCAGGATGTTCACTTCATATTTGCTCTTCCTTTCCGGAGCCTGAATTTGATTAAGGATGAATACAGTCTTATTGAACTGCTTCACCACTTTGTCCCCGATCTCAAATCAGTTGAATCCACTGAGCTGTTTAGGTGTAA